CCACACACACACACACACTAATACACACACACCATCGTAGAACGAATAACCTACTGACATATCACCTGTGAGCTCAGAGTCAATGGCGGTACGCATTATTTATGTCTTATTACTGGAGCAGGAAACATCAGGATGTCATGGTTGTGGTGCGCAAAAATGTAGGGGTTATATTTAACTATTACAGCAAAATGGAGAGAAGTTTGGGGGGGGGGGGGTGGAGGGCAAGCCGTCAAAGGCTTTGAAGTTAGTGATTATACTTTCTTTAAAAACAGAATCCAGTCAAAAGCTTTGGAATGGGTGATTATACTTTTTTTTAAACAGAATCCTGGAAATTATTTCAAGTTTTGTGAAAAGTAAGAGACATCATAAAATATATGGATGCTATTTATAGATCTATCATATTACCCAAAATAAATATGCTGCTTTTTAAAAATATTAGAACATATTTCATTTATAATTTATGCTGGTTCCACGGAAGTCTCTTCTGTAAAATGTTTATGTTTTATGTGATGTAAGCCAATGGTTTCAAACCAGGAATAAAACACCTACCTCCCTACCAACATAAATGTATCAAGACTGATTCCTACCTTCAAAATCCTCCATAGCCTTTTCATCCACTAACAAATACGGTCTTAAGTTCTGCGCATCCACCAGCTGTCTCGCGGCAGACAAAGACGTAAACACATCCTCCTCCGAGACGTCAAAACCTATTTTTAGCAGTCTCCTCATGAGAACAGCTTTGCTCTCCTTTGTCGTGTTTGTTACAAACTTGACCTTGATATCTTTCTGCTGTCGAAGTCTGAGGGAAAGTATGATAAAACACACATGTCATAAAAAAAAAAAGAATATATAACAGAAAATTACATTCATTACAGTAGACTTTCCAAACTCAAAGACCACTTTCAAAACACCCCCTCCCCTCCCCACTCACAACCAACCAAAAAAAAAGTTTTAAAATGGTTTTCATGTTTGAGTTATTCGTGCCTGACTGTTATTATAATAAGGTAAAAAAAAATAGAAAGACCACTCTTTTTTTTTTCCACTTAAATAAAAAAATGAATGAAGTCATTTGTTTCATCACTTTTCAAGATACGGGCTATCCTTTTTAGTACTTGTAAAAATTTTCTCCTTCTATCGCAGAATGTTCTGGAACATATAACCCTTGCAATAACTGAGGGAATACACTGTATCAGTATTGAGTTTTTGACCTTTTGAGTGCATCCACTGCCCCGGGTGTGGGGTCACTTTCTACGTGCAGGGTGCCGCTGAGGTCAATGAGAACAGCCTTGATATCACCGGACATCTTCTGCACAGATAAACATGCACTTTAATAACAGGGAATTGATTGAAAAGATAAAACGGTAAATCATAAGATTAAAGAAGCAATTGATTGAACATAAAATGTTCTCTTTTGCAAAATTATCGTGTGTATCTCTATCTAACAAAATTGGGGGGGAGAGGAGTCAGAAAGTGGACAGTGGAGATGAAAGCAGACAACAGAACCTGATAGTTAGAGAGCAGGAAATTAGGAGGTGAAAGAAGAAATATATATATATGTTAGAGAAGAAAATTAACCGTCACTGTCAGGTTTCGACCCCGGGACAGGCCCTATTGAATGAGAGGCAAATAAATACTGTACCTCTAAGACATGATGAGAGCCCCCTAAAAAGAACTTCATTGTGAGTCAGACCACAGAAAATGTTACAGACTCCATCGAGAGTGTTTGGTCCAAGAAATGTAACACTGTATTTTATTGTGTACATTTTTTAAACTGCTATGGGAGCTTACAACCCATTTCTTCCAAAACACTAGATTTTGTTTTGAAGATGGGGTCATTTAGACACTCTGCCTAGTTGTTGTCTGTGAGGTTGGGTTCAACGCAGTCAGACCATAGACTTTAAAATATTAAAACACGTAGGCTAGGCCTTCACACACAACTTAAGTCACAAAAGAAAAAGTAGGCTAGAAGACTAGATCTAGATCTAGATCTATACGAGATCTATAGACTATAGAGTCAAGGAAAATGTTAAGTACATGTGTGGTGTGTGGAGAGGTGACACCGTGAATATTAAATGGGAGTCTAGAACTGTGTTTGTTGTGTTTCAGACATCCGACTCTGGACATTCACCAGGGAAACTAAGAATAATTCAATGAAAATGATGATGTGATGATGATCAGGGTTCTCCAACTGAAAATGTGTAACAATAATAAATCACGTTCAATGAATGACTGAAAACAAATTACCTCGAATCTTGAACCTATGCTACGCACTTGCACAAATCTAGAGCACACTGACTTTAAGACTTGAAGTCTGTGAATGAAGTGGAACATACGAGAAGTAGATTGAGCAGGGTATAGCTGTTTGTCGTTGCCGTAAGCGAGGCTAGCGGACGCCAGCTGCCTCGTTTTGTTTTTCTAAAGTCAAAGCCGGTAGCACAGGGGGAAGTCGAAAGTAGAGATAATTGTTTCGGGAAAATGTCAAACACATCCTTCCATCATTTTGGCATCGCAGTATGTTTTGTAAAACAACAAAGAGTTCTTGCATGGAGACTTCAAAACAAATATAATTTGACTTTTATCATTTTAAATTTTTTAACAATAAAAACGACTCTCATTTATTAACCAATAAAAAAGAAAAGTTAAGAGTAATTTTCAGAAAACCCCCACAATTTTTGAAGATTGTATTATTTTTGTATCGTGAAATATTTTTCTTGAAAGTTTTTAATATCTATAGTGACTTGCTTGCATTGGGCATTTGGGAGCATATAAAGATGGCGTCAAGTATGAGTGGACCGTTTGGAAACTCTGGACCTGGGCCTCTATGGACCGGTGGACCGGCTCCTGGGCAATTTTACAATTTTCCTGGCAATGCTAGTATACCCAGTAATGGTGCAGCTCAGAAAACACTGTAAGTAACCATGTCTAGATCTACTGACAATAGACTTAGAGTAGGGCACCACCACTTCTTCTTTCACTTTCTCTGCCTACCTTGACTCTTGACTTCACTGACTGCCTTTTTTACTTAAATTTTGTCTTTACAGTTACGCTCCTGAAGTCTCTTGCTGCTGCTACTGTGTAGTAATGTATGTGGACATGGCATGTTATTGTTGTTCCATAATTTCCCAGTTCAGCACTGTCTCCCCTCATTCCAGAAAAAGCAGCAGACGACTTGAATTATTTGTCGTGTCATTGTATAGAGTCACAGTCACGTAGTTGTAGTCTAACTTTAACCCTACCCCTACCTCTTGCCCTCTATTCTTCTTTGATCATAGTAGTGGTCGCTCGTTACGGAAGTTCTCCCATAAATAACACTAACACAAGACCAAGACAAGAATTACAGAGATGGTGATGGTGCTGACACTGATTCATGAGAAAATAAATAAATTTCGCAGTGGCTACGTTCACGCGCCCTGAATCTAGTTTGCAAAATATAAGAATAATGGTGCTCACTTCACCCCCTACCCTTTTTCATTTTGCTTTTTCATTTTTTCACCCCCTCCCACCCCTCTTCCGGCCTTGGACTTCTTCCATTCTCCCTTGTTTCTTCTAACAACTTTTATTTTCACATTGTCGAGCATTGCCGGGTCCATACACGGGAAAGGGATATTTATAAGTTATGTTCCATGTTCTGAGCGAGCGAGGCCTTGTAGACCGAAGCTGTTTTGCTGTACCTACCTTCGCCCTCCATAAACTCTTTTGCATTTGGACCACCGCAGCATTATTTTTCACGCGAGTATTCCTGTGCTGTTTCCTCATTGACTTTGAGTCTGAATTTGAACAACCGTAGCGTTTCAGTCGTGCCCCTGTGCCAATGGTGGATGACTCAGGGCGCCATGAACGTAGCCTGCATATTATAAATTTTGATAGAAAAAAAAATACTTTCACCAAACATGTAGCAATGCCAATGAAAATTTAAATTTTCACTTTTGCCCCCTTTTTTTTGGTACCTAAGAAAGAATTTTCAATTCTGATAATCATGCTTCTTGAATTTTGAGAAACGGTTCATAAATAAAAAAGTTATGGGGTTGTAAAGGTCGGCAAAATATGGATGACCCACATATAGGAAAATACTCCTAAAAAGTGGACCACGCAGTAGCAGATTCTGTAAGAAAATCGACGATATCTCGGTAACTAATCCAAATGTTGGAGAGAAACTTGGCTACCCGATGTGTTTTTGAGTGTAGAAATCATTTCTGCAGTCAGATTTACTACCAATTTCGTAGTTATTTTGTTATAATTAAAATTGTGGTGTACATATTACGATTTTGCGAAAAAGGGGTGTCGGGATGAGTCCATTTTATTTATAGCATCGTATCACAACATGGGATCTTTAAGAATATATGTCGGCAGCGTGACTAAATAATTGCAAAGCTTTTTATGATGACTTTAGACCATGCCGACCGTAAAAGATAAGTTAATTCAATCTAGCATGCCGTACAATTAAAAATTATTTTTCCCCGTTGAGACGCGAACACCCCGAGACGAGATAACCTCGCCTCGGAATACCCCCATTGCGATGTTACAGGGGAATAGAGAGAAAAACAACCGGATGCGCGCGCCCGCCATTGCCCTATTTCAAGTGACCAATGAACGGGCCCGGAATAGTCATGCGGGGATTTGTAGGTCACAGACATTTGCCACGGGAGTGAGGGGAAAATGGCCGGTCTCCGTGCGAAGCCGCTTTGGATAGGGGGGTAGTCGTAGATTTACGATCGGGTCTAAACAACTACTTGACACAGAACTCTCTAATTTGAGCACACTATAGAGGATAGATAGATCTATTACCATCTGGGCGTTGAAATTCAAACTCCTTATAGTTTTCGGTGTACACGATACGAAAGTGTTCCCGACACCAAAAGTATAGGTTAATTTATGTGTACGAACTTCAACGTCCACATATCATTAGTTTGCCCTATTTTCTGATTGGTAGCCGAGTTTCATTCGGATTGGTTCGGAAATAGAGCAGACCGAGGTTGACAAAGTTAGTCACCTACGCTTCGGCCGGGTCCGCAAAATCGCCCGTAAACGGGGACCAAATTTTCGCCTCGCGGGAAAGCCCGATTGGCATTGCTAAAACATGTGAAAGCAAATCAGCAGCCTCAATAGCTATCTAATGAGATTCAGACCAAGAGTATCATCCACACATTTCTGAATTGGAGCAGCTTTTTAAGTAAAAGCAATGTAATGCCAATATTTGTTTGAGTTATGATATATATTTCTACTTGAATCCCCTTACATTGGTCCGTTGATGCTGGACTCCCAAGAATGAATTCACTCGTTAAATAACAAAATGATGCTTTGACAAAGAAAAACAAGATATTTTCGTTCCTGGGTATCCTTTCCAAGTTTTCTAGTAATAATTTATGTACTTTTTTGTAAATGATGGGTCATGTTTTAAAAGTCAGTGACTACTGTGCCCTTTCACTAGTCACTAGCGCTGCAGACTGGCGTTTTTGGGAGTATTTCAAAACACCACTACAACTCAGAATTACCCTATTGTAATTATTTTTTTACATAGTAAAATTACATTCAAGCTTAATCTAATACAAAAAAAAACGAAAGTTTTCTAAGTCTAGTACTTTAATTTTTATGATGTATGAAAAATTGGCATGAGAATTTGATTTTCTAAAAAATTTCTAGAGACGTGACAGATAGAATGAAATTCTCAACAACAACAAAAATAAAAATTCAAAATGTTCTGTTTTGATTGTATAGGTTGAAGTCCTCGGTGACCTATTTAGTTATACGCAGCAAATCACAAGTGCTGTAGCGTCTTGATTCCATGATCTAGTTTCCAACTCTAGTGTTTTATCAATGGGTGGGTGGTGATTTTAAGTTGGTGTATGTAAAATGGACTACACCCAAAGATTTGAAAATTTACAGCAATAAAGAAGACATGTGGGGCGCCTGTCTGGTAGACTGCCAATCCGCAGCTCCACTAAGTTTTTGAACCACAGAGCTAGGAAAATTGCATAAACACTGCAATTTCTTCGCTTCTAGAAATCACTCGGCATTGTACGCTCGGTTGTCGTTAGTTTAACCTTTCCTCTGATTGGTTACATAGTTTTATTCATTTTCGTCTTTGAGTTTTCCCGTAACTATTCTTAGAAGAGAGTCACCTCTGATCCTGAGCGGCCCGAAAATTACCCCTCACGCTGAGCCCAATATCCGTCCCAAAGTGCAGCAGGCAATTGGCATTTCTATGAAATGGAGTAATTGACTACAATTGTATTTTTTTTAAGCATGCTTTTTTTTTTTTTGGCAAAAAAAACTGATGAAGATGCTCTAATTATAACTGTTTCACCTTCTTTTTTAACATCTTCCAGATCCCCAGTGGTGATGGGAACATCTGTTCTTGCCTTTCAATTCAACGGAGGAGTCGTCATTGCTGCAGATATGCTGGGCTCGTATGGCTCATTGGCTCGGTTCCGTGACTGCCCACGACTGTTCAAGGTCAATGACAGCACCATTATTGGAGCAGCTGGCGATTACGCTGACTTTCAGTACCTCACCAACATCATCCAACAACATGTGTAAGTTGAGCAATTGATTATAATTTTTATGTTTTGCACACCCTGAGAAGATCTTTTAGAGGCGGGTTACTTTGGCTAACTGACTGAAAGAGATACGAGGCAATTTGATTTTAACTCATTCAATCCCGTGACCGAGATATCTCGTGCGGGCTGCGTTCAATTCCCACGACCGAGATAAACTCAGTTCTATAGTTTTGTTCCGTATACTTTATTTCGTTTCAGAAAACGGCCTCAAGTTTTTTTTAAGGTCAATTTATTATTTCCCCGGCCAATTTTGCCTAGAGGGGTTCCTGGAATTTGGTTTCTACCGTCATTGCACACAGAGAAATCTCCGTTTTTATATAAAGGAACTTTCAGCACGTTTTTTCACACTGATCAGCTGAGCATGTCTCGCAATCGATTCTCTCTGCCTTTCTCACACGTACACTTCAAGAAAGTATTCAACAGCCTTAATTATACATGACATACGATATATTTATAGATCTAGACACTCACAGGCATATTTGAATATTAATGTAGGCTTGCTCTTGCTCATTCGGCCATGAAAAAAAATTAAAAGCCCCCAAAAATGCCAAACAACACCCGAAAGCAAACTTATTAAAACTATATACTTCAAATTTGGTTTGTCTAAAGATCCATCTTAGGTTGTACGTTGGGCCAAATTTCAAACAATTGGATTATATAAAATGGTTACTAGTAGGTCCTTACATAAAGGTGCCAAACTGACCGGTTTCTGGGTACAGTTTCAGGAAAAACTCCCGGGATTGAATGAGTTTAAAAATTGTTTCTATCTCCACTTAGAAACTGAACTGACTCATTCTGCATGCAATAGCAAAGCCTGGTTTTTTACTGATTGCTACATTTCCCTACCTTGATATAAAAGGTGAAGGTTTTTTGCCTTCTTTTTTACGGGGTCTTTTTTTTTCTATTCAGTTCTGCACCGTATCAGCAATGTAATTAAAGGATGCCACTGGTAGGTCCTACTTCTTTTCTCGCCCTCTGTTGTTTCTGTCTGTCTCTCCTGATAGTGTATTCAAAAGAACAAATATTTTATTTGTCTTTTACAGTCAATGTAAATTTCTGTTTAAGTGATTAATAAAGCTGTGTGTGCTTTTTTTTCCTCCCTTTTTTTTTGAGGGGGGGGCTGGGGGTGTCATTATCATTGCTATACCCCTCAAAACTGAGTTTGTCATGATGATGTATCTCCTGTGTGTTTTCAGGATCGATGAGGAGTGTCTAAATGACGGGTTTGGCTACACACCCAAGAGCCTTCACTGCTGGCTGACCCGTGTGCTCTACAACAGACGCAGCCAGTTCAACCCGCTGTGGAACACATACATTGTTGTGGGCGTGGAGGACGAGAAGCCGTGAGTTGTCTATTGTCTCTACTCTTTTGGAAAGGGTGGGGTGGGCGAGAAGCCGTGAGTTGTCTATTGTCTCTACTCTTTTGGAAAGGATGGGGTGGGCGAGAAAGATTAAGAATGTCCGTCTCATACTTCAGTGTTAGAAAAACATTTTGCTTAAGAATCTTTCTATAATGTTTGATATAATAATAATAGATAGCATTTGTATGGCGCAAATCCTCGTTCAAAAGCAAGCTCTATGCGCTTCACAATCTATATCATTACCCCAGCAGACCTGAGAGCATTCTGAAGCAACCTCAACTTCCTGGGAAGCATACTGTGCAAGCTGCCATATAGGCGGTAAAACACCATAACAATATAAGCAGCATAATGTTCCATGATCATTGTCAAAACGTTAGGATTATATTTAGTTTTATATATATATATATATATATATATATATCTGTGCAGTTTTTGTTTTTTGTTTTTTAATACTTGCAGTTTGTTGAAATATTTTCCAGTTATGTTACAAACAGTATATAAAATGCTGTCTTATTCTGTTGATAAGCTACTCTTTCCTTTAACAAACAAGTAGGCTATGTTATGTGACACTCTCTAAATTGTGTTGATGCAGCATAGTTCTTCGTGGGTGGTTGGCGGGTGCTCTGGTGTGGTTTGCTTCTTCTTTCCTATCGTGCATCTATCGTCCTTAACTCCCCTTCTTCTTTTTTATGTTTGTTACTCTCTTGTAACCCGTCTAATCATCTGGCGCTCATTTCACCTTATGCAGTTGCGAGCGCCGTAAAACCTCTACTAAAAATAAACTAAAAACTAAGCACAGTTCATCTCTGTACTGAATCTGTTGTTGTGTAGTACTCTCATTTTGTGCTGATGTGCCTCTCTTTTCTTTTTAAAAAAAATAAAATATTATTTTAAATACTTGCTGTATTGTGTTGATGAAAACCTTACTTCTCTTTACTCAATCTGTTGTTGTGTAAGGCTCTTTAATAATAATCTCTTATTGTGTCATTGCCATTGTGCTGATGTGCTCCTCTTTTCTGTTGAAACAAGCCCGAGTGGGTGGGTGGTTGGCGGGTGCTTTGGTGTGGTTTGCTTCTTCTTTCCTATCAAACATCTATCGTCTTTATCTCCCCTTCTTCTTTTTCGTGTTTGTTACTCTCTTGTAACACCTCTAATCTTCGGCACTTAAATGACCTGATTGTGTTGCAAGTGCCGTAAAACACTTACGAAAACTAAAACTAAAAAATAAGCCAGAACATTGTTGATGAACTCTCTTTTGTCGTGTTAATGTGTAGCGATGTCTGTTGT